GGAGGGGGAATGGGAGCGACACCGGAGAGTCAGGAATCCGATTCAGAAATCAGGCCCACGCTGGGGCGGAATCGCAATTCTGACCGGCGGGAGCAAAGCGCCGATCTTGAAATGAGGCCAGCGCCGCAGCGGAAACAGCACCTTAAGAATACCAAACACGATCCAACTGGAAACACATAACGTGTGAAATATCACCTTGCAAATTCACAACGCGTGGGAGACAGCTCTCCATTCTGAATGTGCATGACGCGTGACTCGATGGGTCATGTTGAGGGTTCCAGGTTGGCCATGAGACCCGTCGGCGAATGTAGACGGATCAGCGGAATGGAAAGGATGGGTGTGTGGTGTAGGCTGCCAGCTACGGCGCGCAAGCGCCCAACTTGCCTTTCCCCCCTCGTTCCCTCTCCTTTTCCCTCACTTCGCATCCAGCCCCCTTTCCTCCCGGCGGCCCTTCCCCTGTCGTCCGTCCCCTTCCCCCTGCCACCCTCTCCCCTCCTCTACACACAGACCCCCCCCCCGAGGAGGACTGGTAGGCACAGGTTCATCACGCATGGTCACAGCGTGACACAACCACTTCCGATCCAAACTAGAGGGGGATGGACCCAGGCTGGAGGAGCAGGGGCATGGAGGAAAACGGGAGGCGCCATGGACGCTCACAACACGATCTATATAGAAAAATCCCGAGGATGCGGCGTGGGAGGTCTGGTGAAGAGAGGATGGGGCTGGCTTGCAGAAATCTTCGGGACGTCTCGCAGGTGTTTCCGTGGGGGGGGCTGTCGGGGTCTCTCTAGTTCGAGCAGCCGGCGCAGAGTGACAGTTGGAGCTAGCGGAAAGGCAGACCCGATGACCAGATCAAAGACTATCAGCAAAATGGACTGATCAATGAATCAAGCGGCTACGAAGAGACGTGGGGAGGAGGAGTCGGAGGACAGAGGAGGACGGATGATGACGACAGACGCGTGGAGGGATGAGGATGAGGAGGACCAGAGTAGACCCAAAATGCATCACCGATGGTCCAGTACGCCCTTCCGTCCTACGTCCGCTCCCCACAGGTCCCTACAAGAATACGGGAAGCACTCGGAGGCAACTCCAGAAATGTCTGCACCCAAACGGCTACGAGATGTTATGCAATCCTGATTGAGGTGCCACATAGCAAGACACGGCCCAGGATCACGCCAGGCTCCATGAGATTCAGCGGGACTGCGAGGGATGAAACGGGCTTGCGCCGAATTCGGCTCGCTTCTGACAGAGGACATACCCGCGCCGATGCTGAAGTTACCTGCCTGGAGGCGCGTCCTAAGGCGCATCCCCTTGAAAGCAGAACGCCCCATGGGTCTGACTGCCAGGGCGGGAGCACTCAGCGCACTCGGCGAGCAAGGCATCCGAGGATGCGGGCTCCAGCCATTCAGGGAGATGCGCAACCAGAGTCCCGTGTTGCACAGGTGGGCCGCCCCAGCCCTGTGCAGCTGTTGCGCATCGCTGCACGCCTGGCCACATCCTCGAGGAGGCCCGGGGGAGCGCAGCCCCCTATGGTAGAACGGAGCCGCCCTCCGCCCGTGCAGGCGCCGAAGAGGATGAGACATCATGGGGCCGGCTTGCGTTTCGGAGGACGTCTCAAACGGAGGCCAGACGTTGCAAAGGGGCCGCCCCCCGTGACTGAAGCACGTGGGTAACGACTCGAAGCAAACGTGCGCGGCGCGGAACGAGAGCCACGTTGCCCAAACCACCCGCATTCCATATCTATAGTTGTTGGAAAACGTTTGCGGCAAACGTGCGCGGAGCTACGGCGAACCACCACGTGAATCCCACTCGCCATCTATCCTAATACTTTGGTTGGGCAATGTAGAAGACGAGCGTGCGCGGCGCTAAATCAAAAGCCCCATTTTGAATGTAAGCTGTCCTCCGCCATTCCAGCAGTCGGGGCCGTTGATGTGAAAACGATGCGCCCTCCGTTGCTCCGATCGAAGGCCCGCGCTTCACGATCACAAGCGGGGAAGATGTTTTTCAGGTGAAACGCCCAGCCCGCCCTAGCGACACGTCTGGTGGTGCGAAGAGGGGGAGGAGGAGCTGATACAGCAAAAAGCATACGTACAGGAACCTGGGCCGGGGGGAGGGATGCGAAGATGGCGGGGAGGGAGAGGGAGCACGAGCGGACCGAACGGACGAGGGGCCTCAGCAGAAAAAGTAAAGAGGAAGAGGAGGCGATCCTCCCGTGTTCCCCCCCCTCTCTCTTTTCTATCCTCCTCCTCCCCCTCATCCGAAAGGGAGGGAAGGCGCGGAAAACGGTCACCGAAGGGCCCGTGAAGCCACACGCCCTCCAAGAACACCTTCTGCTGCCACTGGCACCCCCCTGGGAGTTCCAAATGATACCATCCTTCTGCTCCTGCTCATTGTTCTCGACATGCGTCTCCCCAGTCGGAAGAGGACAACGGAGGGGTGCGGATCAGGCCCCCGAGTGGCCATCAACGGCGAAACTAGACTCATGTGCCATCTCATGGGGCCCTGGCAGGACATCTGATTGTTCTCCTCACATGGGCCCCATCCTCGTGCACCTCCCCATCATGGTCCCCACCGTATCACCATCATCCCCTCCTTGCTTTATTCTGCTCCACAATCAATCAACCGAAATATTTCTCTCTGCTACTCCCGGTACGGTGCAAGCTTGCCCGCGCCTGTCCGCGCATTGCTTCGCTGAGGGCACACGAGCACGTTTTGCTTTGTTCTCAGACACAGAATCCCGGTTCGATCGGAGCGTCCCTGGTCCAGCTGCAATGCCGGCAACATGACAGGATGGTCGCGCTGCCCCCGTCCTTCGGGATTGCGCTCCCGCCCCCGCGCGAGCCACACTCCTGGCACCGGTTACCCCCCACGGAGTTGCCACCCCCTCCTTTCCCCTCCTCCGCCTCCCCCTGACCGCTCGGCTCCTCAACCTCCTCCACCCTGCTCATCCCGCTCCTGCTTCCGCTCCCCCATTCTGTTTACGCACCAACGGGTCATTCCGCGGCTACAATCAGGATTCAGCGCAATGGGGCGGGATGGATGAAAAGGGTGGGGTGTCAGATGCGGCCCGGGCGCCCCTGACATGTTTTCCTCCTCCTCTTCCTCCCCCTCCTCATCATCATCACCTTCCCTCTCTTACCGTCGCTCTCCCTCCATTCCTCTTCGTCTTCCTCCTTCTCCTCCTCGTTCTCACCCCCCTCCCCATCACCATCTTCATCCGCATCATCATCAGTATCATCTTCATCATCATCATCATCATCAGCAGCAGCAACATCATCATCAGCATCATCATCAGTATCATCAATTGCGTGTGGGCGCGCCCCCTGGGGTGAGCCTTCCTCGTGTGCTGGACTCGGCTTGGAAACCTTGGCGACAAGCGTGCGCCTCGGGGACCCCTGTGGGCGTGCAGGCGGATCGGTGACGGGGTGTGTAGCCCGCAGGTGCCCCCAGACATCCGAAACGGTTACCCAAATATCGTCATCACCATCACCATCATCGTCACAATCGGTATCATCGTCACCCTCAGCAAGATCGTTACCCTCCTCGTCCTCAACGTCATCACCATCTTCATCACAGTCCTCATCATGATCATCATGCTTGTCATTAGCATCGTCCGCGTCACCCTCAGCACCCACATCAGCATCATCAACATCGTCATCATCATCATCAGCATCATCAGCAGCAGCAAGATGATCAACAGCCTCCTTAGCATCGTCATCACCATGATCAAAACCGTATCGTCGTCATCATCATCAGCATCAACATCATCTTCAGCATCAGCGTCGTCATTCGAGGACTTGCCGGTATCATCATCAGGATCGTCGGCGTCGGGATCAACATCAACATCACCACCAACTCTAATACCACTAGCAGAATCGACAACCTCATGTTCTATCAGCACGCCCATCATCATCATCATCATCATCATCATCATCATCATCAGCAACATCATCATCAACATCATCATCATCATCATCAGCATCATCAGCATGAGCATCAGCATCATCATAGCCATCTTCATCATCATCAGCACCATCATCAACAGCATCATCATTGCCATCACCACCACCATCTTAGTCGTCGTCATCGTCAGCATTGGCATCACCAGCATCATCATCAGCATCGTCGATATCATCATTTTTATCCTCATCCTCGTCATCGTTATCATTATCACCATCATCGTAACCGCTGGAATCAATTTCCAACGTCAACACCACCACCAACATCATGATCATTACCATCATCATCATCATCGTCGTCGTCATCATCAGCAGCATCATCATCATCACCAGCATCATCATCAGCATCAGTACCAGTATAGTCATCATCGTCATCATCATCAGCATCGTCAACAGTTACATCAACAGCATCCCTAACAGCAGCGACAACATGACGGCTCATCATCATCATCATCATCATCATCATCATCAGCGTCAGCATGAGCATCATCGTCAACATCGGAAGCATCATTGGGATCATATGCAGCGTCATCGGCATCATCATGTTCGAGATCCTGATCATGGCCATCGTAATCATCAGACTCATAATCCACAACATCATCACCATCACAACCACCACCATCATCATCAGCATCATCAGCATCGTCATTAACAATATCACCATCAACATCATCATCAACCACATCACCATCAACATCACGATCAACACCATCAGCACACTCGTACTCATACTCGTACTCATCATCATCATCAAGATCGTCATCATGACCATTTTCATGATCATGATCATGATCATGATCATAATCATCATCCTCATCCTCATAATAATCATCATCATCATCATCATCATCATCATCATCATCATCATCATAATCATCCTCATCCTCATCCTCATCCTCATCCTCATCCTCTTCATCGTCCTTCTCCTCCATCCGGCCCCTCGCCCTCGGGCCAATCCGTGGCAGAATGGTGCAGAGATCGGAGCGCACCCGAAAAGGCCAGATCGAGGCGCCCCCAGCAGCCGCGGCTGAGCCGCCCGGCGCGAAGCCACGGGTTCGGGCGCGAGGGCGCCAGAAGGTCTGTCGGGGGGGGGGGAGGAGCGGGAAGGCAACGAGGTCGGGAAGCAACGACTCAAGGATAAGCCAGACTAGCCCAGAGTAGATCCGGGATTGAACCACACAAAGCGGGACTAAGCTGGAATAAACAGAATTGAACGGGAAAGACTAGTGGTAGGCTGGCTTTCGACCACGGATATACCAGCACCGAAGCTTCCATGATTTGCCTTCTAAGCGAAGGAAAACGAAACCAGGACCGGGACAGATTCGGAGCAGGACAAATCGAAGACCTCCGACCGGAGGTTGGGGAGTGAGTTCGCAGTGGAACGGAGACCCCCAGCCGGGAAATCGTTTCGTTTCGCTCGTGTCGCGCGTGCGGGCGATGCAAAGCTGCGTGGGCGCGCGGGAGGACTGAACCCGCCGTTGTTAGGGCGAAGTCGAAACAGATGATTCTCCCCCGCCCGCCCGCCCGTCCGGCGGTGGCTCGCGGTGGCTCGAGGTGTCCCGCCGTGTCCCGTGGTGTCCCGTGGTGTCCCGTGGTTCCCCGTTGAGCGAGATCGATGGTGAGATCGATAGTGAGATAGATAGTGAGATCGATAGTGAGATCGATGTGGTGCCCCGAGGTGTCCCGCGGTTTCCCGTTGAGTGAGACCGATGGTGAGATCGAGAGTGAGATCGACAGGTGTCCCGTGGTGTCCCGTGGTGTCCCGATGAGTGAGCTCGATCAAGAGATCGATCGTGAGATCGATAGTGAGATCGATGTGGTGTCCCATGGTGTCCCGTGGTGTCCCGTTGAGTGAGATCGATAGTGAGATCGATAGTGGGATCGAAAGTGAGACCGATAGTGAGATCGAGAGGAATCCCGAGGTGTCCCGTGGTGTCCCGTTGAGTGAGATCGATAGTGAGATCGATAGTGAGATCGACAAGTGTCCCGTCGTGTCCCGTGGTGTCCCGTTGAGTGAGATCGATAGTGAGATCAATAATGAGATCGATAGTGAGATCGATGTGGTGCCCGGTGGTGTCCCGTGGTGTCCCAAAAAAGTGAAATCGATAATGAGATCGATAGTGAGATCGACAGGTGTCCCGTGGTTTCCCGTGGTGTCCCGATGAGTGAGCTCGATAAAGAGATCGATCGTGAGATCGATAGTGAGATCGATGTGGTGTTCCGAGGTGTCCAGTTGAGTGAGATCGATAGTGAGCTCGATAAAGAGATCGATCGTGAGACCGATAGTGAGATCGAGAGGTGTCTCGAGGTGCCCCGTGGTGTCCCGTTGAGTGAGATCGATAGTGAGATCGATAGTGAGGTCGACAAGTGTCCCGTAGTGTTCCGTGGTGTCCCGTTGAGTGAGATCGATAGTGAGATCGATTGAGTCAGATGTTGGTTCCCCCCCCCCCTCTTCCCCCCCCCACCTCCTTTCCACCCGAAGGATGGTTGTATAGGTAATTACCTGGCGATGATGGAAAATGTTTCGGGCGCCGCGGCCGCTGCAAAGCGCTTCATGTCGCCCGGAGAGCGTTCCAGAACGCTCTGGAACGATTTATCCCGAAGGGCATCCAGAGGAATAATCAAATCTCTTATTGAGGTCAGAATTCATACGCATCGGCGCCCTCGGGAACCAGTGCCCACAGGGTCCCAGGAGGCAGCGGAGATGGATACATCTGGGGGGCCAAAATGGGTCGAGCAAAGCTACGTCAGCACTGCATCCTGGGGTCCTGGTACATCGGTTCTCGAGGCTGTGCCTGTATACCTAACGGAGCAACGACAAGGCATAAGCATCAACTTTCGGAGGTGCACGCGGATTTCCTGGATCACCGCTGGATCCCCCTCCCTGGCGCGCGGAGCGCGCCGGGGGGCCCAAGCGCAGATCCAAGAAATCCACGCGGTGCTCCGAAAGCCCGCCGAGCTCCATCAGAAACTCGGCGGGATTTTCCCACATCAACATCAACAGTCACCAGGGGATGACGACTGCAATTTTGGCGAACACTGCAAACAACAACGTCAGTGCTACTCCGCCTGGGGAGCTCGTGGTGGGGGCACGTCACCGAACAAACACGACGTAGAAGGTCCAGGGAATGAGGAGAGGGGTGAGCTGAACCAGCAGCACCGACGCCAAAACCATCACAACCACCATCGCCAACGCACTCCTCATCATCGCAAACGCCATCACCATCATCATCATCAGCATCATCATCATCATCGTTGCCGTCACTGGCGTCATCGTAAACATTATCATCTGCCCGCGCGAGCAATGTATCTGCATGAGCAGGGTCGGCGCGTCAGTACACAGGAAACTTGCAAGCCACTTCCGATTGGCAATTGCTCTCACGGCCTTCACGAGTTTCGCCTGGACGTTGTGAGCTGGTGGGTGGGATGTTTGTACCAGCGTGGAAACTGGTCGCACGCCGATGCCCACAGCCCATCGCGCCACATAGACTGCACCACACGTGTTGCACATAGCTCACACGACGCGACTCGAACCACAGAGATTGTTTCTGTTATTCTTTCGTTCAAACTCAGGAAATTTACAATTTCAGGTTTTTTGTGCCCTAGTGGGTGAGAGTTGCGTGGGCTGCTCTAGTGGCCTCGTCTAGGGCAATGGCCTCAGCACGGAAGACTGCGCACGGAAACTCAAGGAAAGTACCATGCACCACTAGCGGTTGATAAAAGCACTGACCGCCGATCTGGCCCCACAGTCCAATAACCCACGCAGCAGCAGCGCAATCGCCATCACGAAATCCACCATCTGTTTGGATTAACACGTTGGCGCTGTGGATACACATCGTAGTGGTGAAACTATTCTGCCACGTTCTCCGGGCGTCCATTGTGTAGTTCGCCAGGCCGCCCGCTACTTTGATACGGCATCTTCTCCACCATCGTACTGGGTCTTGATGAATGTGTGGCGGTCTCCAGCCATTGCCCATGTGATCAACCATTCTGCTAAACACTCGAGATACGAGAGGTTCGTACGCTAGGTCATGCATTCTGTCGATGGCACAAACTACCTTTTTCCAAGGATTGCATATCCGTTGCGTATAGATAATGTTTCTGCGGAATTGCCCATGCAATACGCATACCGACTGAATCAAATAATTCATCTGCTTCCGGCTCCCCTCCTCGGAACACGAGCTTCTCCTCCGTCTCCTGGTCCACCCGGGGGCGTTTCAGGACACGTTCGACGACGCCAGGCCCTTCGCAAAGCGGCAAATGCCAGCGGGAGCAAGCATCTGCAACGAAAGCATATGTAAGTAAATCCCACTCTGACTGCGTATGATTGCTGCGACGTCGGCGCCAGTCGAAGCCCATAAACTGCACAATCGGATCCTCCCATGCTGCCCTGATGCAACCACTCCGTGGTAGAAGTCCTTCCAGTCGTAGTCGCTTGGCTGGCGCGTCTTTCACACAAGCCCAGCTGTCCCTCGAGTTGTAAAGGCGTACTTGGCTGAGCAGCGGCGCCCCATACTCGGTACAGGAGTCCTCCTCGCGGTACGCCTCTACGAACAAGTTGTTCAGCGCGGAAACGTGGATAGGCCTGCGGCCGAAATTCACCATCCACCGTTTGATGCGCTCCGCCGTACGTTGGAGGTAATCACTGTGCGACTCATGCAGTGTTCGTCTCAAAGGCAAGGCTCGCCTGAGTCCTTGTAATTCCCACGTCCACAGCATGCGCATGAAATCCCCTGTCATGTACCACGTGTTCGCCCCGTGCATCGCGGAGGCCCGCGGCCCCCTGGCCCACGCGCCCAACTTGTCGTACACTGGATCCGGGGCTCGGAAAGCGTGCGAGTTGGCCCAGTAGTTGCCCTGGGCCTTGCTGAGCCTGTAATCGATGCTTCTCGCTGTGCTGCCACTGGTGTCCATCATCTCGCCAAAAACCATCATTTTTGAAACGGCCACGTATGTTGCAACTTCATACATTACATTTTCCGAATGCCGGAACTCACTGCTTGTAACACACGCTAGCACACACAATATTGTGGATTGATCTATATGCGCATCTAAAACAAAAAAGCCTGGCGAAGGACACAACTACATGCAGCTGCGAATCATGCAAGGTATGACCATATCCTGGTAGGTAGCGTGCCGCGGGAAGGATGGGGCACGGGGCATGCGGATGGGGGCCAGGGGACACGCATGCAGAAGACGCATGCAGACGTGGCCATTCGTGGCATCCGGTGGAGCTCCGTATGGGGCCACGAACCGTGTGAGAGGTGCGGCGTACTGGTTGGGGGAGACGCATGCAAGCGGTTCCAAGGGGCCTTCGGCGGAGCTCCCTAAGGAGCCATGAAATGTGTGACAGGGGTGCAATAAAGGGGCGGGGGAAACGCATGTGAACGTCGCCACTAGGGCCACTAGGGCCTTGAGCGGAGCTCCCGATGGGGCGACGAAACGCGTGAGGGGGTTGTCGTAATGGGCGGGGGAAAGGCGTGAGTGCCCTGCCAGTAGGGCCTCCGGTGGAGCACCTTATGGGGCCACGAAGCGTGTAAGAGATGCGCCGAAATGGGCAGGGAACCGCGAAACCTGCCACTAGGGCCTCCGTGGAGCCCCACAATGGCCCCGAAGCGTATTAGCCGGTGGGGCCATCGGTTGAGTTCCTTGTGGGGCCTGCCGAGATGGGCGCGAAACCGTATGCCAACGCAGCCAGCGGGGCCTTCGGTTGAGCTCCCTATGGGGTCACGAGGCGTGAGATGGGATGTACCAACATGAGCTGGAACGCATGCGAACGCCGCAGCCGCTGGAGCCTTCGGTTGAGCTCCCTACGGGGCCACGAGACGTGTGTGTGTGTGTGTATGTGTATGTGCGTGTGCGTGTGCGTGTGCGTGTGCGTGTGCGTGTTCGTGTGCGTGTGCGGGTGTGCGTGTGCGGGTGTGCGTGTGCGTGTGCGTGTGCGTGTGCGTGTGTGTGTGTGTGCGTGTGCGTGTGCGTGTGCGTGTGCGTGTGCGTGTGCGTGTGCGTGTGCCTGTGCCTGTACCTGTGCCTGTGCAAGTGCCAGTGCCTGTGCCTGTGCCTGTGCCTGTGCCTGTGC